GAGAAAAATGTTGTTAAGTTGCTGTCATTCATAAATTCAAAACAAGTAAATGACCTCTTTTATTTTACGGTAAATGCTCCTTTATTGAGATCATTTATAATGAATGAATGAATTCTACGGATTTTAATACGTTATGTGTGTGTGGGTTTTATTTGTGATAAGTGTAGCGTACCCTAATATATTTGCAAACAATGTATTCATTTTATTGCAATAAATTACTTACTTATTATTATTATTATTATTATTATTTTTTTTTTTTTTTTTTGCTTAGGGACTTTTGGGAAATCTGCTTACAGATACCTTGGATTCCGCACTCCAAGGTTATGTGGGGTTGGTGTGATAAAACAAAAGGAGATAAAAAAAAAATAAATATATAAAATAGTAAATTTAATAAACTGGCGACCTACTGCCAGCCCGACCCACTAAAACCCGTAACCCTTCTTCTGGAGCCCTTTACCCTCCCTCGGAACTGTCGTAAGACTTTAGCCTTTGAGGGTGGCGCTCCAACTCTGTCGCTAATGCGACTTTCTGCTTTTCTCTGCGGTTATCCTGCGTTAATAGTTAAAAATTTAAAACTATTTCAATATAAAAGCGGAATTAACAGCACAACAATAATAAAACAAATGTTTAATTAAGTGTAAACAGTCAAAAGATAAAATTGCAAACGGATATATAAAAAAAAAAGAAAAAATAAACGCGTATAAAATATTGAAAACATAAAACTGTACAAAGATGAATAAAAAAAACACAAACAATTAAAAAAAAAATGTATAAGGACAAATAAATCACAAAATAAATTAATAAAAAACAAACGATCAAAATTAAAAGCTGTTTAAATTACGCTTTTTGGCGGCCGTCGAGATCCTTCCTCGACATAACCGAGATTATGAAGTTCTCGACTTGCCGCCAATTCTCTTCCGACTGGGTCATCAGCAATACCATGTTCTCCGGTGTAACTTGACTGTTTACACCTTCGAACATGGCCCGCCTCTCCAAGTCCCATTTCTTGCATGAGAAGAGGGTGTGCTCCGCGTTGTCCTCAGGGAACTGGCAATATGCACACACCTCGTTCTCGCGTAATTTAAAGCGACACAGGTACGAGTTAAAACACCCGTGACCTGTGAACGCCTGAGTCAAGTAATAGGAAACCTGACCGTGTTTCCTATTTATCCAGGTGGCGAGTGCCGGGATAAGGCGATAAGTCCATCGACCTTTTTCCTCACCATCCCATCTTTCTTGCCATCTTTCTATGAGCCTGTGCCTCGCTTCTTTGCGGATCAGGCCCTTGCTTGGTCTTAATTCCTCATTCAAGGAACTGCTTTCTTTAGAAAAGAGAAACATTTCTTCCCTTTCCCTCGCCAAAAGATCTGCTGGCGGGACACTTGCAAGGACCTGCACAGCACTCGTAGATACCGTCTTATATGCAGAGATGATACGCGTTGTTATCGATCTCTGCGCAGACAGTATCTTTTCACAGATGGTCACACATCTTTTACTCCTCAGGGATGGGGCCCACGCTGGTGCTGCATAGAGCATTTTAGCGTGGGCGACACTCGCCACCAGTCTTCTTTTTTGTTCACGGGGTCCGCCAACATTTGGCATTAGCCGTGAAAGATTAGCCGCACACTCGATCGCCTTATTTGACGCCGTAGCCATGTGGTGGTGGAAGTTTAACCTTCCATCTAACTCCACACCAAGATATTTAATTTGCTTACTCCACTTGACCTCGAATCCGTCTATCACGATTCGTGGGAGCTCATAACCACGTCTGTCTGTGACCAGCAGTGCCTCGGTCTTTTCCAGGGCCATTTCAAGACCTCTGGTATCCAGCCAGCTTTTAGCTAGTCGCAGACATTCGTTCACCAATGTCCCAAGAGCCTCCTCACTTTCGGCAGTGCACACGAATAATGCGTCGTCCGCAAAGCCGATGATCACCGCACCTTCGGGCAGATCCATTCGCAGAAAATCATCGTAAGATACATTCCATACAAATGGACCCACCCTCGAGCCTTGAGGAGCCCCACGCTGCATCTCTTCCTTGAGAGTGCAGGTGTCTCCCTTATATATAACCCACCTGTCGCTAAGATAATTATCCATTATCCGCAACAAGTAGGGCGGCATGTTTTTCTTTTCCATCGACTCGATGAGATCTTTCCATCTTGCGGAATTAAACGCGTTGCGTATGTCAATTGCTACCAACGCGCAGAAGCTCTTCTTTTTCCCAGGTCCCAATTTGTTTTTTCCTGCTTTGGCTATGTCCACAACTGCCTGGATGGCATCAACCGTAGACTTGCCTTTACGGAAACCAAATTGGTGATCGGATAGACGACTCTCTTCGGTCAAGTGGCTTTGCATTCTCTGCAGAACCATATCCTCTAGAAGTTTACCCATCGTATCTAGCAGGCATATAGGCCTGTACGATGAAACCTTATCTAGAGGTTTTTCACCTTTCCTTAGGAGGACTAACCTCTGTCGCTTCCAGTCGCGGAAGAACTCTCCTCTCTCAAGGCAAAGATTGAAGCATCGAAGCAGAATCTGGGGTAAAGTGTCGATTACCAACTTTTGGATCTCGTTACTTATCCCATCGATTCCAGGCGCCTTGCCTGTTTTCAATCTTTTGCCTGCTTTTTGCAGTTCACTAAGTGTGAAGAGTTTTTCCTCTTCGACTTTGCAAAAACTCCAGTCCCTTCTAAGGTATGGCTCCGCAGGAGGAAACAAAGAACTTATTATCTTTCTGACCCATTATTATTATTATTATTATTATTATTATTATTATTATTATTATTTTATTATTATTAATAATAATTTCAATTAATTTTGTTTTAGCATAACCTAAAAATAAATTTTTATTGATATTTAATGATTAATTAATATTAATAAATAAATATTTATTTAATAACCAATAATAATGATTAATATAGGATTAAAATCATAAATAATTATTAGCTTAAAAATTTTGTTGATGGCAAAACTGGAAAATTATTATTCAAGTGTTCCTTTAATAATTAATTTTTTACACATTATATAATTAATATATTATATATAAATATATAATATATATTTAGTATATTAAATATTATTACTATATTGCATAATAATATTGTATATTATTATTATATAATGGTGCCCTTCTCCTACTTCTCTGTTTACTTTTCACAGCGCAGAGAACCACTGGCGTCGGTACGATTCACAGTGCTGGTGGGGGTACGGCAGTCGCAACGACTTTGCGATTTCGCCTCCATGTGGAACTGCTCGAGGGGCTGTTCACTCTCGAATCCAAGATTCGTAAGGGTACGATTATTTACGAATACAAAGAAATCGGTGGAGAATCCGCCCAAATTTTAAGAAATCATAAGGATTCGCCTTTTACGAATCCAAGCGATTTCATGTGAATCCAAGATTCAGAGAATTCGTCACCTACGATTCCAGTCGATTCCATGTGAATCCATGCAAATAATAATAAATTTTCAAATTATTGTTAAATTGGATTGAGTGATCAGCCCCTCGGAACCGCTGTTACCTATCTAGTAACCAGACTTCTATATACTTTGCTCGCACGAACAATTTCCACAGTTAGCCGTCGAACTGACTTGGGGCTTGCGTTGAGGAAGATCGACGACAACTCTCTCCTTCTTTTCTCTCCTTCCTTTCTACCTGGTGCAAGCAGGCGGTATCTCAGGTACAACTGGGGTTGCTAGCTTGCACCAATTCTTTCTCTCTACCTAGTGCGGGCACGTGGTATCTCAGGTACAACTAGGGCTGCTAGCTTGCACTAATTCCTAGAGGGAGCTGTACTCGAGACACAGGTACAACTGTGCAGTAGTAACACCCCTCGTTACTCCGTCGCTCCTTTCTCGCCATTGTTAACCAACCCTGTGGTAAGGAGGTACAACTCGACCTCCACAGAGTTGATGCACCAGGTAGATTCTTCGACCCAAGGTACATCTTGGGGAAGATGAAGCTTGAACAGAGATTTAATTATTTCGGTATATTTTTCTATTGGATAAGAGGGTCAGCGAGCGTACTGGCTCTTCATTGACGCGATTTCTCCCTAGTGAAATATTGCGGAATCGTCTCCCCTAGAGTGCACTATCTACGTAACCGTCCAATATGATAATCGGGAAGTAAATTTATGACTAGCTTCGGGAATAATTAAATCTATTAACGCATAACTCGTTAGTAAAGTAACGTAATGTAAACTCGGTAATTATGTATTAAGGGAAACGTTCAATAGTGAAACGGTAAGATAATATGAGTCACTATTCTTGGATAATAAACTAGCGAACGATATTTTATTATTAGTATTTCTACGATTTATTTTGTTAATCTAAATTTATTTTGTTTATGATATTTTGTTATTCTTTTATTTGTTACTAAAATATACTTTCTTACAAAGGTTTAATTAGTGCCTTATTAATGACTATACCTTACTGTAAATCATAGTATGTAACGGTCCTTAACTTAAATACTGTTTTGATAAAGATTTTAAGACTAATTTGCTAAATTTAACTAAACTAAGTACCCGGACTTCATCCGTCGAGCTATTCTTTTGGCAATTAAAAATCACGATAATTACAAATAAATAAAGAGTTCCGTTTCACAAAATAACAAATTATAAACGAAATGTTACAAATTCAGTGAAACTTGAAAATTTCAATTACAGTTAAATTAATAAACGAAAGTATTGATGACTGAATTTATTACTAACGGTTTGTCTATAGTTTTCAAATTACTCTTTTTATTTTAAAAACACATAAAACCGTTCTTCTGGGTTGTTGTTCTCTCTAATGGAGTTGTGTTCACTCCAGAACACTGATAACAACTAGATTTTTTTATGTTGCACTTGGTAGTAACATGTGTAACGAAACAAGTCAGTTCTGAATCATCATAACATGAGTTCTGTTTCGATGATTCAAGAACAGATAGTTATTTTCTTACAACTTTTGCCTTAATTAACGACTGTGTATTTTGATATTCTATTTCGAAATTTTTCTTTTAAGGCAAGAATTCCCTCAAAAACGATTGGGACGATTTAGTCAAAAAAATTAAGGAGCCGAGAAACTGTCAAGACCACGACGTCCAAGACATGGAGGAAATTGATTCAAGCGATCACAATCATGATGTTTCTCACACAAATGACAAGCAACCTTTGTCGGAGACCCAGGTCATGTCACAAATCAATAACCTTATTGGTGACATCGATCAAATTTCAGAAGATTAATTAGAACGATAGGTTTACGACTGTATTTTTCTTAACGAATTGTTTAACGATATATAATGACGGTATGAGTGTGTTGTCGACAACAAATTTTTAAAATGACAGTTTTTATTTATTAGATTTTTTTCTGGGTGGTGTGTCACCTTCTATTTCGATTCTATTTCGATTGATTCGAAACAATCTGATTTAATTTCCAACGACAGTCCCAATGTTAAAAATAATAACGGTACTAACACATTAACTAATAAAGACATTAATGAACCTTTAATTACTAACGAATCTTCTTAAAGAACCAAATTCAAAAAACAAAACCGGACAAGTGCGAGTTGCACTCGCACTAAGATCGAGGGTTCCGTACACCAAAACTAAACTCATTTTTTATAAATATATATATATATATATATATATATAAGAAAAATGATTGATTAATATTAACATATATAATATATTTATTTTATTTATTTTATATATATATATATATTTATTTTTATTTTATTTTTATCTTCGCCAATCACATTATCTTTATTTTTCTGTAATTTGCACTTAAAAAAAATATACAACCTGAATTTTAACTCACCACATTTAAATTTATAAAAGTTAAATTAGTGACACTGTAATTTTTTCAAAAAACTCAAATTCTTGCCCTTAAATTTCGCAAATACCTCAAACAATCATGTTCGCCATATTTTTACCTTAATCTTCACTTAAAAATGAAGATCCCTACCGAATTTCAGCTCATCAAATTAAGATTCCTAAAAGTTCAAAAGGGGAAGAGAAAAGTGTCATTTTTTGCAATTTTTTCGTAAAAATTCAATTTCTTTCCCTCCTAGTTCGCAAATATGTCCGTCAATCGAGTTCGCTATATTTTTCCTGTAATCTGCAATTGAAACTGAAGATCCCTACCGAATTTCAGCTAATCAAGTTAAGATTTTTAAAATTTAAAGGGGGAGGACAGGGTAATTTTTTCAATTTTTCCAAAAAAATTCAATTTCTTTCCCTCTTAGTTCGCAAATATGTCCGTCAATCGGGTTCGCTATATTTTTCCTGTAATCTGAATTTGAAACTGAAGATCCCTACCGAATTTCAGCTCATAAGGTTGAGATTTGTAAAAGTTAAAAGGGGGGACAGGGTCATTTTTTGCAATTTTTTCAAAAAAATTCAATTTCCTTCCCTCCTATTTCCCAAATATCTCCACCCATCAGGTTCGCTATATTTTTCCTGTAATCTGCACTTGAAACTGAAGATCCCTACCGAATTTCGGCTCATAAGGTTGAGATTTGTAAAAGTTAATTGGGGGCGACAGGGTCATTTTTTGCAATTTTTTCAAAAAAATTCAATTTCTTTCCCTCCTATTTCCCAAATATCTCCACCAATCAGGTTCGCTATATTTTTCCTGTAATCTGCACTTGAAACTGCAGATCCCTACCGAATTTCAGCTCATAAGGTTGAGATTTGTAAAAGTTAAGGGGGGGACAGGGTCATTTTTTTCAAAAAAATTCAATTTCTTTCCCTCCTATTTCCCAAATATCTCCACCAATCAGGTTCGCTATATTTTTTCTGTAATCTGCACTTGAAACTGAAGATCCCTACCGAATTTCAGCTCATAAGGTTGAGATTTGTTAAAGTTAAGGGGGGGGACAGGGTCATTTTTTGCAATTTTTTCAAAAAAATGCAATTTCTTTCCCCCCTATTTCCCAAATATCTCCACCAATCAGGTTCGCTATATTTTTACCTTAATCTGCACTTGAAACTGAAGATCCCTACCAAATTTCAGCTCATAAGGTTGAGATTTGTAAAAGTTAAGGGGGGGACAGGGTCATTTTTTGCAATTTTTTCAAAAAAATTCAATTTCTTTCCCTCCTATTTCCCAAATATCTCCACCAATCAGGTTCGCTATATTTTTCCTGTAATCTGCACTTGAAACTGAAGATCCCTACCGAATTTCAGCTCATAAGGTTGAGATTTGTAAAAGTTAAGGGGGGGGGGACAGGGTCAATTTTTGCAATTTTTTCAAAAAATTCAATTTCTTTCCCTCCTATTGCCCAAGTATCTCCACCAATCAGGTTCGCTATATTTTTCCTGTAATCTGCACTTGAAACTGAAGATCCCTACCGAATTTCAGCTCATAAGGTTGAGATTTGTAAAAGTTAAGGAGGGGGGGACAGGGTCATTTTTTGCAATTTTTTCAAAAAAATTCAATTTCCTTCCCTCCTATTTCCCAAATATCTCCACCCATCAGGTTCGCTATATTTTTCCTGTAATCTACACTTGAAACTGAAGATCCCTACCGAATTTCAGCTCATAAGGTTGAGATTTGTAAAAGTTAAGGAGGGGGGGACAGGGTCATTTTTTGCAATTTTTTCAAAAAAATTCAATTTCCTTCCCTCCTATTTCCCAAATATCTCCACCCATCAGGTTCGCTATATTTTTCCTGTAATCTACACTTGAAACTGAAGATCCCTACCGAATTTCAGCTCATAAGGTTGAGATTTGTAAAAGTTAAGGAGGGGGGGACAGGGTCATTTTTTTCAAAAAAATTCAATTTCTTTCCCTCCTATTTCCCAAATATCTCCACCAATCAGGTTCGCTATATTTTTTCTGTAATCTGCACTTGAAACTGAAGATCCCTACCGAATTTCAGCTCATAAGGTTGAGATTTGTTAAAGTTAAGGGGGGGGACAGGGTCATTTTTTGCAATTTTTTCAAAAAAATGCAATTTCTTTCCCCCCTATTTCCCAAATATCTCCACCAATCAGGTTCGCTATATTTTTACCTTAATCTGCACTTGAAACTGAAGATCCCTACCGAATTTCAGCTCATAAGGTTGAGATTTGTAAAAGTTAAGGGGGGGACAGGGTCATTTTTTGCAATTTTTTCAAAAAAATTCAATTTCTTTCCCTCCTATTTCCCAAATATCTCCACCAATCAGGTTCGCTATATTTTTCCTGTAATCTGCACTTGAAACTGAAGATCCCTACCGAATTTCAGCTCATAAGGTTGAGATTTGTAAAAGTTAAGGGGGGGGGGACAGGGTCAATTTTTGCAATTTTTTCAAAAAATTCAATTTCTTTCCCTCCTATTGCCCAAGTATCTCCACCAATCAGGTTCGCTATATTTTTCCTGTAATCTGCACTTGAAACTGAAGATCCCTACCGAATTTCAGCTCATAAGGTTGAGATTTGTAAAAGTTAAGGAGGGGGGGACAGGGTCATTTTTTGCAATTTTTTCAAAAAAATTCAATTTCCTTCCCTCCTATTTCCCAAATATCTCCACCCATCAGGTTCGCTATATTTTTCCTGTAATCTACACTTGAAACTGAAGATCCCTACCGAATTTCGGCTCATAAGGTTGAGATTTGTAAAAGTTAATTGGGGGGGACAGGGTCATTTTTTGCAATATTTTCAAAAAAATTCAATTTCTTTCCCTCCTATTTCCCAAATATCTCCACCAATCAGGTTCGCTATATTTTTCCTGTAATCTGCACTTGAAACTGCAGATCCCTACCGAATTTCAGCTCATAAGGTTGAGATTTGTAAAAGTTAAGGGGGGGAAAAGGGTCATTTCTTGCAATTTTTTCGAAAAAATTGAATTTCTTTCCCTCCTATTTCCCAAATATCTCCACCAATCAGGTTCGCTATATTTTTCCTGTAATCTGCACTTGAAACTGAAGATCCCTACCGAATTTCAACTCACCAGGTTGAGATTTGTAAAAGTTAAGGGGGGGACAGCCCATTTTGCGTGGCTGGGACGGACACACGAGTGATTTCATAAGGGTTCCGTCAGTACACCTATGGTGTACGGAACCCTAAAAATTATGTGAGACACTATTCCAAACCCAGGTAAAATTAAAATATAAACCTCAGGATGACCAAAAAATCAAAATAAGTGTTGGTACAAAATTAGGTCTCTTTCTATTATAGGATCATAAGAAGTATTTAAAATATAATTTTAATAATAAAATAAAAAATATAATAGATATTTTTATAAAAAATATTAATATAGATGGTATTGAAGTATTTAAAATATTTTAATAACAAAATAAAAATAGGTAATAAATTGTATCTTGATGGTAAACAATATAATAAATAATATAATGAAAAATTTGAATTATTATAGTTGTTTGAGATTGACCGATGAGAAGTGGGTTCTTTTTTATACAAAAATTGAATGCACGAATTATACACAAAAAATATTATTTTTATTCAACGAATTTAAAGGCCTGTGCAAAATGGCGTGACCACGCCTTGTGGTTTTCGATGAAAAGATCCAAATGATCCTTTTGGTTGTAAAATTAACACTCTTTATTGGCGAAACTAAAGCGAGACATTTCAAGTTTGAAAACCAAAAATAAAAAGAGAATTTACTTTGTATCGTAATTTTAACTAAACTGATTTTTTTTAATTTAATAAATTAACATTGACGAGATCTGGTCTTTGAGAATGCTAATGAGTAATAAATAATATATTGAGAAATTTAAAATATTATAATTTATAAATTTTTATAATGAAATTATAATGATTTTTTAAAACTTTTTTTTTAATTAGAAATTTTAGGTTAGTAATGATTTTATAGTCTAATAAAAATTTTAATTTTTAAATTAAGTTTAAAATGTTAATATAAAAATATTGAATTTTATATAAGTTAGTAATGATTTTATAGTATAATAAAAATTATAATTTTTAAGTTAAGTTTAAAATGTTAATATTAATGATAAAATAAAAGTATAAAAAAATTTATGTAAAAAATTTGTAAAAATTTGAGGCATTTTTTTGAAAAATGCTAATTTTTATATGTAAGAAAAATAATAAATAAATATCTATTAATGGGGGGGAACTTTAATTATATTTATAAGTAATAAATTAAACTAGTTTAATAACTTCTAATTAAATGAGTTATTTTTATTAATTAACTTTTTTCAGTAATGGAAAACTGGTTTTCTCATAAGTTTTAGAAGAAATTTAAGAAAAAGGGGCAAAAAGATGTTAAAATTTTTAGTAGAAAATTTCTATAATCTTTTCAATAGTAAATTCAAAAATATTCAATTTACATATGAATTAGAAAAGAATTGTCAAATTAATTTCTTAGATGTTACGTTAATAAAAGACAATGAAAAAATTATAACGAATTGGTTCCAAAAAGACATTTTTTCAGGAAGATATTTACATTTTGAATCTAATCAAGCGAAAACATATAAAATAAATGTTATAAATAATTTAGTAGATAGAGCTATTAAATTTTCAGACAATCCGTTTCATAATGACAATTTGG